ATGTTATAAAACCTAGGTACCTTAAAATCATCTACCTATGAATCAGTGGAATTTACAATAACTTTTCGAGGTGTATTATAAATAAATAAACTTATTGTTATGTGCATTACGTATACCATATGCGACAAGAATACGCATTATACCTATTATGATATTATTATACAAAAAACGATTCTGAGCGAAGACTATAATATAACTAAGTATATTTCATGATATCATTGTTATTAAAGTAGGTAATTTATTTTACTGTTAGAAAATAGTAATAGAGTAGTTTTCATTATTTTACAATGTCATAATATGTAGTATAAAATATAATAATATCACAAACAAAACCCTTCTTAAACTACATGTAAAAATGGATAATTGAAAAAAATATAAGATCTTTAAGTCACTATAATAATTTTAGAATGCAAAGACGCACCTTTTAAGCTAAAACTTATGATTATATGATCATTATTGGCAATTTTATGAAAAGAAAAAGTTTCTAAATCACCAACAATTTAATTAGAAACACAATTTAATTAGGTAGGTAAATTAAAAAAGCTGGGTTAATAGTACCAAATTACTTTTTTTTTAAATGGCGGTGTTTACGTGAACCGAATTTTACCAGGTTTTTTTTTACTTGGAGATTACACCGAACAATTATTACAATTTATTATTGTAGGTACTTACTTGTGGCGGAGCTTACATGTGTACACATAAACTGAACTGGCAAATAATCTAGTGCTGTATAAATAATAAAAAAATTATATAATACGATACGGCCCTCCTGGTCCAAGTGTGATTTTCTGCAACAGTATATTGTTCAATTTGAAAGTGAAGCTAGTTGGTGAGTTTAGGACGTCAAGATATAAAATAGTTTTCAAAAACGATGTGAAGAACAAAAGAAAAGTTAAGGAAAATTCAAAATGGGTATTTCCACTCAAAATTGATTTTCAACAAAATCGATTTTGGTTTTTGGTGAAACTCTAAAACAAATAACTATAGATACATTATATTTTTGCTGAATGTTTATATAAGAATTTCCTATACACCGTAACATTTTCAAAATATTTAAATTTATTTTGAGCTGGTAACGGACATTTTCAGTTTCCAATTTTTTTTTTTTTTTTTTATGCTATAAATATGAATAAAATTTTATTTGTAGAGTAAAAAACTTGAAAATTCAAAGAAAGCTAATAATATATTGTTTCAAAGACAGATGAAAAATATTAAAAATGTATAGTCACATTTTTTTTTTTTTTAAAAGCATTTAAAGTAGAAATATTGACAAAATACGTAAAATTCACGAAAATGTGCAAATTATTTTGGATTAGAAATTCATAAAATGTTTTATTTTATCTAAAATTGGAAACTGTAATATATAATTCCTTTAATTGAAAATTTAAAACAAGGTTTCACGTAAATAGGTTGTACCTATTTAAATTACTTTATTCACAATAATATCATAAAATATAGTTGGTAATATCATAGTCTGACTGACCGTTTTCGCTCAAAATCGTTTATCTTATACATTGATAATTTTATATCATTATATTCAAATTTAACACTATCCATTACAGAACCTACTTGTAACCTACTGTACAGTAGACCGCCCAAACATACTTGCCCAACTTTTTGGGTAGTGTCTTGTGTTGAGTTGTGTATTATTTAATACATTGAAAGTTTAATTTACGTCAAAAGGTCGTACGTCATTTGAGTATCGATATTATTTAACAATAGAATTGAAAAAGGTTTATTTTTGTATTTATTTATTGTTAATTAATTTATACTCAAATTATACGTATGTATATTTGTATTATAACTTTGACTATGGTGTGGGTAATTCAAATAAACACAATTTGTTTTTAGTCAAACTATATTTGTAATATTTGTTTTTGGAGGTAAAAATATGATTGGTAGTTAAACAATTATAAAGTATTAAAAGAAATTTGAGATTTTGAGGAATTCCGTCAATATTAGAATTTAAAACGCCAATTTAACAAAAACTTGTGACCATGACTTGAATATATTTAGGTACCTATTTTATGTTATTTATGTCAATCATTGTCTTTTCGATCAATAATTATTTTTTTATACCTTTCTATAGTTGTACGATCTTTTGGCACAGCCAACAGACGATGCCCGAATTATATATATATTATTATTTATACCATTATGCAGACTTGCTCGATAAAAACCTTTTATGCAAATTCACTATTAGCGTCATACTTTTATATCCATTTTTATTTGGGATGCATACGGTATAGGAACGAGTACGATACTGCTAGTCTGTGAAGTGTTAACCTCTGTGTATTAATAGACTTACCTCTAACATGTTATCGTATATTGATCGCCTCAGACCTACATTACTATAAATACACAAAATAATTATTAAAATATAACAATTTATTATTGTTCTTGTTTGAGTACCTATACTTTCACTTTTTGCATTGCATGACTATGATACGGCCATTTGGCGTCATTTACTCATTTTGTCAATCAATGATTTTTGTAATTATTTTTCGTAGTAGACCATTGTATGTCGTTTTATATTTTGACAATAATTAAAATGATGTAATGAAAACCTTACCTGTGTTTTTAACAACATTTTCACAAATAAATAACTAGAACTAATTATTTAAAAAACGGATTAATTTTTTTTTATGATCGGGGAGGTTGCGTACAAATACTGTTGATGCAGCCCACCCAGCCTGCCATTTGCGCATGCCTAGGCTTTAATGCCTACATTTTACATAAACTGTCAATAGACGTAACACGTTTCCACCAAAACAATTTCTTATATTAAATTCTGTAATATGCAGTAATAAGTTGATTTAAATGATTTTATTATGATATCTTATATAGGGCGCATGTAAATTCCACTTCCTTACACTATTTTTCTTATTAATTCCTCAGGTAACTTTTAAATACTTACCTGTAAAAAAAATGTAAATTCCACTGGTTTTATTTTTACCTGGAACAAAACTTACATTATGTAGGTAATATTTACTGGAGCCATACAGATGTATTATTAAATTATATTATATTTACATACAATAATATTTAAAGTAGTATAATACGTATAGCGTATGTATATTAGTTAGTAAAAATATAATAAATATTAAATTAATAATAACTAAGACTGCAGCTATATTTTAATAAGGAAAAATTATTTGTAATCTGTAGATTTTAAAATCAGTAGTTTAAGTGTTTTTCAGGTCAAAAATAGGTATACACCGATGGAATTTACATTTTTTTCAGGTAAAAAATATCGGTTAAATAGCCTTAAATGCTAACCTTGAAATCAACTAATTATAATTAGATATCCCAGTTGCGTCCTCGGTTTTTGCACAATACATCCGAGTTGTGATTGTTTGACAAAACAAAATAAAAATGATAACTTTAGTTTTTGATACCCATCAATAATAATATATTATAATATGTATCCTTGTATGTTAAAAAATAAAATTCGCTAAGTCTCCGAAATGAATATGATGCAGTGATGGTAAAGTTCTTCTTAAAAATGAATTATTCACTAACCGACGCGCGACGATACACGGCCCTGCTACATTCTTTATCCTATGTAACTAATTGATAATAATAATATTATAGAGCAGTAGTTAAAATAATGTTGACTAACAAACCTAATAAAATCATAATTAAAAATAATTTTGATTCCCTAATTTCACTGAATTATGACGTACGTATGTTACTTGATTTATTACTATTTATTTAAATTTATAAAATAATGTAAGGCAAAAATTATTGAGAGAAATAGAATCCTATGACACCGGTAAGTTGAATTAATATTTAAAAATAACAACATAATAATTAAAATAGTTATTCTTGGTTATTTAATATGTTATTTCGTCAAAACTTGTACATAACACACTAAAAAAAAAAAACTGTGTTTTTATATTTTTTAGAATTCTAAGTTACATGATAACCTACTTACCTAGAACCTTGTTTTACATTTTGAAACCCTAAGCTATAAAAATTGAACATTTTAAAATTTGAAAATACTAAATTATTTTTGAATTTTAAATTTGATAAATGTTGTCAAAAATCGAAATTTAAATACTTAAAAAAAGAAACTGAGCTCATGTATTTTTATATTTTTCATCTGATATTGTAAAGATACAGGAGCCTTGAGCCTTGTATTAAATTTGCACACTTTTTGACACAATAAATACAATGTTATTGACATGTACAGACAAAAAAACTAAAATAATTCAAAAATTCAAAATGTCTGAAAACAGTCAAAATATTTTGAAAATATTACGGTTTATAGACAATTCTAATAAAGATATTCAATAAAAATTTCACGGATCTACGTGTTACGTATGAGTTACACCAAAACCATAATTGATTTTTTCAATAACCAAGAATCAGAATCCCCATTTTCCTTATTTTTAGATTCTGAGAGGAGCGGTGAGTGTAACTATTGGTTTTACAATGATGTGTGTTTTTTTTTAAATTTTTTTTTGTGTCTGCATACACGATAATAATTGAAAAAATGCTTAGATTTTCCACTTCAGTATCTTGTTTGATATGAAGGTGAATATTGTTGGTGCATTTTGGAGGTCAAAATAATGAAATAAATTTTTTTGCTTATATTTTCTCACGATTCACACCCTATAAATGTTTATCAAGGACCACAATATATCCAAGAATAATACACTTTATTATTGGAACTAATAATTACCACAGATCATATAAATAAATATATTATATATTATGTATATAAATGTATATAACAACAAATAAACATATGAGTTTTATATTTTAAACATTAGATAATAATATTATGCTTTTTCTGTCCGTTTTGAACAGACAGCATAGGAAGGTCTGTTTGCACAATATTACTCCTCTGCTACCATCGTTTATTGATGAATAACATTTATCACACACAATAAATCACATATATATAATATACATATCACGAATAATTAACCAGGTATTGCTTTGTCATGCCTAGTCTCGTTTGTCGCTCCGATTCTCGGCCCTATCGCAAGCACTCACCTGCCTGGAATCTCGTTCTGCTGATTTGGAGTGGCTCTTGCTTCAGTCTCATCTAGCCTCGCATCCTGTTCCTTGCAGCTAAGTATGCCTTCGACCGTTTCATAGAAAGCCTGCGTTGCACGCTGAGAGGCAACCTGTATTCGATCGTTAATGTAGATCGGGACGTCGGTGCGACCACACAGCAGATCCTGTACGTCACTTGAAGTGACTTTTCGGTTGAATATGAAATCGTTCACTGTCAGCCGCATTGATTCCCAGTGTGGACAGTCAAAAATTGTGAGCAGGCAGTAGGGACAAGCCTCGTCGGAGAATAATATAATACTTGTCGAAACATTTAATATAATTAGTTGTAAAATAGATTCGTAATCGAAATATACTTTACTCAAATCCTGGTGGGTGTTATACTCTGTCGTCATAAATCGTTCATTACTTTAATGAGTTACAGCTCTGCTATAGCTATACAAATAATATCCAATTATTTCGGTAGCTGTTAATATTATAAGTATGGTACATTTAAAGACCACAGTTCACACCACGAAAGGCAAAATAATCTATATCGATGTGTTTATAGTGTAGTGTTTTTTAAAATAGATCTATTGTTACAATAGCAGTTGAAAAATATTTAAAATACACAGGCACAATTTTTTTTATAAGCATTTAAAGTTTGAATTTTGACAAAATAGATGAAATGTAGCCTCCCAAACGCAACCAACTATATATTTACTTACCCTTCGGACAAGGTACTGAAGTTGAAAATTGAAGTACTTTTTTGAATATTTATCGTGTACAAAATAGAATTCAAATACCAGTTCGTTAATTTTTTCAAGATAGACCACGGCGTTTGTCTTAAATGTATATATATTATACGTCCCCGGTCACGTCTTTTTCCGTAAAAATATAATATTATAATATAACTTCTCGGTTGTAATATTATTGTAACTTGTAAGTACCAGCATTTATATACTGCAGCTGCGGTACCTATATCTATAATCAATAGCTGTTATATTATAACGCGTTAATGCGTGCATTAAAATTTTTTTATCCAAACACACAACCCGAAGCTTAAAACCAATTAATGTTATCGGCGAAAACCAAAAGCGCAAATTTTTTTCTAATTCAGTAGTGGGATAAAAGCACAGAAAAAAATTATATTACCTGATATGTACTCGTTACACTATAAGTCTCAGTTTAGAATTTCATGTTCATTATAATATTATATAGTATTTTTGTATTTCAGAAGCAACAGTAATCGAGTTCAATTGAAATTTAGTACCTATTATCGTATAAATATATTTTTTTTTGTAATTACAACTTGAAATTGAAACAAATATGATTTTTTTTTTATCAACAATAAATATTATGTAATGGATAAGTCGTCTATATTTTTTCCCTCCTTTGAGCTGCATAAATTCCATTAATATAATATTATGTAAAAATATAAAAATCCATTCACTATACTTATAATTAATAAACTAGGTACTTGTCCCACAATTTCATTTTTATTGATCAAAACACTCCAAATAATAATATTATTATATAATATAATATAATATATTATATTCTGCTTAGGAATATAAAAATTAAAAAAAATTTTGGCATCCGGAATACTGATAAACTTAGAAAACAGTATAAAATAATTGTTATTTATAAATGTTGTTTTGTAACCATGACTTAAAATATATAGTTTTAAATATTAATAATATATAATAAATATTTTTTTCTAAAACAACGAGTATCGTGTGGATCACTCTGTATATTATAATAATATATTAATATATTATTTTGGGCGATTCAGTATTACTTAATTGTGTTACTTTTTTAGATTTTGAATACCTAACGAACAAAATTAAACATCTCGTCAGTAAAATATATTATTATGCGTTGTATGGGATCACACAATAAATCTGTATTCCTTATAATCGATTTTAACGATATAATAAATAACAAGTTTTAATTTAACTTAGATTAACTTAAAAAAACTTGTTAAAAGTCGCACTTCAAAAGTATAAAACATAAATAAATATCAGTAAATGAATACGTCCACAAATACAAAGCTTTTTACTTTAAAAAAATTAAGCTTATATAATTGTATCCTTCAGTTGTATCGAATTGGGGGCTTGAAGGGGCTGAGCACAGGAATATCGGTACCTACCAAAAACAAACTCTATATACAATTTTAAAATGTTCTATTTCAATCATTTTAAAATCCCTAATACTGATCCCTAACCACTGAATATTAAAATAAAGATACCTATTGTTGACATAAATACAAGTATACAACTCTCGTAGTTAAATAAAATAATATTGTTTTTATATAAAATTTGGTATACTGTGTTTAAAGTAATATCTTATATGGTGTTCATATAAGTGTTTTTGCTCTTAATAGTCAATTATTTAAATGTCTAAACTACACATAATATTATATTCAAACTGCATTTTCATTATTTATTTATTTTAACAATTAGTTAGTACAGTTTTAAATTTTCATTTTAGTTACTTAAACTATAATAAGCTTTACCGTAGGTAGTTAGTAGTGTGATGCTGTTAAAATAATACCATTACATGTTCACTAGGACCCACGATTTAATCATTAAAACCTACGTAGTATAAATTAAATTAAAGTATGAATCATTTAGATTATTTTAGTTTATTGTGTACATAACACCAAATAATGTTTGAATGACATAAAAAAATAATAATATCACTTCTCCTCAATATTTATTATGAATTCTGATTATTGTCATAATAAATGTTTTTGGATTAACACTTTTAGAGAGTTATGTTGAACTCCTTGGCCACTGACTTCAACTATCAACCCGTTGACACTGTAATATCAATGATTAGAACTTCAAAATTTCTAGATTTTCTGGTTGATGCTTAATGGTTTCCAAAATTATTAAATATTAGATATGAGAAGATCAGGGTATATTTTTATTTGAGCTGAGTTATTTACATATTGATAATTTTAACCTGAAAAATTTGGGCAGAGTTTAGTATGTAAGAAATGAAAAAAAAAAACTTTTATGAATATCTAACTGAAAAATAATTTATAACATTTAAAAAAATGTTCTTGGCTATACATAGTTCAAAAAGTATCAAAATAGTTTGGGTCGAGTGTCTACGGTTATTCGTTTTTGAATTACAACAAAATACCAAAAATCGATGGATGGAAATTCGTTAATTTTTAATTTTTACCTATAAAATATAATAAAGAACACAATACAATCTGAATATAATAACAAAGACGTTTTAATTTATAATATTTATTCAATCATAACCAAATTAAAAGTAGCTTAAAGTAAAAGTGCTTAGATTTTCTTCGGGAGGAGGACAAAAGTACCTAAAAATATTCCTGGTCAAAAGCACCATAAAAAAAACCATAAGAAAAATTAAGAAAAACTTGAATTTTTGGTGTAGATCTAAAACAAATGACAGTACATTTTTAGATTCCGAGTGGAACAATGAATGTATTGATTTTACAATGATGTGTGTTTTTTTTTTTCTGTCTGTCATCACCTTTTAGGACAGTAAAACTGCTTCAATTTTCTTCCACAGTATCTTGTTCGATGGGAAATTGAATCTTGTTGGTGCATTCGGGAGGTTGAATTTTAAAATTACCAATAGTTTTCACTAGCGCCGGGAAAAACAAAAGAAAAATTAAGGAAATACGGGAATTTTTACTCAAAATCTGTTTTCGAGAAAACGATTTTGGTTATTGGTGTAACTCTAAAACAAATGAATGTATATTCATGAAACTTTTACTGGTATATTTGCACTTTCTATACACGATAACATTTTCGAAATATTATGATTTGTTTTGAACTGTTTAGGAATATTTTCATTTTCCATTCTTTTTTAGATTTTTTTTTTTTATCAATAAAATTTAATTTGTTGGTTAAAAAATCAATTTCTGGAGCTTTCGTTTTCTATAGATAAAATCGATAACGAGTCTAAAAGTTGATTAGCCTTAGTAGATCGTTATTGTTATTGTTTCTTCTTTTAGATTCTCAGTGGAACGATGAATGTATTGATTTTACAATGATTTGTGTTTGTTTTTTATTTTTTATTTTTTTTTTGTGTCTGTTATCACGTTTTAGGACTGTAAAAGTGCTTGGCTTTTCTTCAACAGTAGGTTTTCTGATAGGAAAGTGAATCTAGTTTTGTGCTTTAGGTTGTCAAAAGTGAAAATTTCCCAGTATTTTTCAAAAGTGGAAAACAAAATAAAAATTAAGGAAAAACGGGAATTTTTACGCAAAATCGATTTTGGTTTTTGGTGTGACTCTTGAAAAAAAGTCCGTAGGTACATGACATTTTGACTGAATGATTATATTAGCATTTTCTATGCACGATAACATTTTCAAAATGTTTTGATTTATTTTGAAATGTTTAGGCACATTTTCATTTTCCATTTCTTTTTAGTTTTTTTTAAAAATATCAATCAAATTTTATTTGTTGGTTATAAAAGATTGAAAATTTCATAAAAGGCTCCTAGTATATTGTTTCAAAGGCAGTTGAAAAATATTAGAAATCCTTAGTCACAGTTTTTTTTTATAAGCATTTAAAGTTAAAAATTGACAAAATATGGAAATATCTCGAAAATTAGTAAATTATTTTGAGTTAAGAATTCGTAAAAATTTTTCTTTTTAAATCTAAGGTTTTAAAATGTAATACCTTTTTGGATGTTGTTTAATAACAAGATTATAAAAAAAAACTCTTTCGCTTTGAAAATGATTGATTAGGCAAAGGCCTAAGTTATAAGTTAAGAAACCAATTTGATTTTTTATCGTAAATAAACATTGACAACATAGGCCATTAGTTACATAGTACCTACTGATATGTCACTGATGCAGTAAAATGGATATCGTGACAACTGGTGACAATCTGATCACAGAGAGAAGCCCCCTCCATATACTTAAATTGCATGATCCTTTTTCCCATTGTATAACTTGTATCCATCACACCCTCGAGTTTCGGTGCATTTAAATTTCTTGTTGTCCATCTTTGCGTCATTGCTACCCACCGCCACATCGTTGTGCTGTGTGTTGAATTATATCTATAATATCATTATTATATCATTATTATACTATATCTTGGAAGTAGGCGTTGTCATACTGTCTCTTCTGAAACGTTAATTGTGCATGAAATTTTGGTTGCCTATGCTTGACGCCTTCAATCTTTTCGGTAGATACAATCACAACAAGTTCAATTTAATAGAGGGATTCTAGTATATTGTTTCAAAGGCAGATGAAAAATATTAAAAATCCTTAGTCACCTTTTTTTTATAAGCATTTAAAGATCGAATTTTGACAAAATTTATCAAATTTTAAATTGAATAGTTATTTTGTAGGTAGTTAAAAATGTATGAAATGTTAAACTTTTATACCTAAGAATTGATTTTTAAAACAAGATTCCACGT